TCCTGGTCCCAGAACCGCCTGCTGGGCTGGGGGACCTCGTGCCAGACCCACCTCGTTCCTCCTCCATCCTCGGCGGGTCTTCCGGACGGGGGCCCCGGCTCCACACCGCCCCACCTGCCGCTGCCCTATCGGGACCTGGCCGCGGTGTTCGACAAGCGGCGCGCCACCTCCCTGCCACCTCACCGGCCATATGATATGGAGATCAAGCTGCTACCCGGAACCAGTCCTCCCCGCGGGCGCCTTTTCTCTCTTGCGCCTCCCGAGACCAAAGCGATGGAAGAATACATCGCCCAGGCCCTCCAGCAGGGGTTCATCCGACCTTCCTCCTCTCCGGGTGCCGCTGGCTTCTTCCTCGTGAAGAAAAAGGAAGGCGATCTTCGCCCCTGCATAGACTATCGGGGTCTGAACAAGATCACGGTCAAGGACCGCCATCCTCTGCCGCACCTCACTACCGCTCTGGATGCCATCTCCCAGGCACGGATCTTTACGAAACTGGATCTCCGGAGCGCCTACAATCTGGTCCGTATAAAGGCCGGGGATGAGTGGAAGACCGCGTTCATAACACCCACCGGCCACTGGGAGTACCTGGTTATGCCCTTCGGACTATGCAATAGCCCTGCTGTCTTCCAACGTCTCATTAATGATGTCCTCCGCGACATGCTGGGACGGTGGGTGTTCGCCTATCTGGACGATATACTGATCTACTCCAAATCCGAGGCCGAACACATCCATCATGTTCGCGCCGTCCTGACCCGGCTCCTGGACCACAACCTGTACTGTAAACCCGAGAAATGCTCCTTCCATCAGCAGTCCATATCCTTCCTGGGCTACATGATCTCGGATGAAGGCATAACCATGGACCCTCAGAAAATCCAGGCGGTGAAGGACTGGCCCTTGCCAACCAGCCTGAAACAACTGCAGAGTTTTCTGGGTTTCTGCAACTTTTACCGCCGTTTCATAAAGAACTATAGCACCCTCGTAGCCCCTCTCACCTCTCTCACTCGACCAGGCTCCCCTGGCCAGCTGTTTCGTCTAACTCCAGACGCCATTCGGGCCTTCCGCCACCTGGTCACCCGCTTTACCTCAGCCCCGATCCTCCGCCATCCAGATCCTGCAGTTCCCTTTGTGGTCGAGGTCGACGCCTCTGACGTCGGCGCCGGCGCCATCCTGTCTCAAGGCGGGCCCGACGACAGGCTCCATCCCTGCGCCTACTTCTCCAGGAAATTTTCCACCACCCAGCAGAAGTACGGTGTGGGCGACCGTGAGTTACTGGCCATAAAATGGGCATTGGAGGAATGGAGGCAGTGGCTTCTGGGCACCACTCGGCCTTTCACGATCTGGACTGACCATCAGAACCTGACCCACATTAAATCTGCCAAGCAGCTTAATCCTCGCCAGGCTCGCTGGGCCCTCTTCTTTGAACCCTATGACTTCCATCTCGCCTACCGCCCGGGAGCCAAGAACCAGAAGGCGGACGCTCTCTCCCGTCAATTCACCCACTCCACGCCCTCGTCCGAGCCAGCGCCAATCCTCCCGGAACACCGTTTCCTGGGCCAACTGAGGTGGCCGTTGGAGGAAGCTATCCAGAACGCCCTCCGGGACGACCCCGCGCCTCCAGAGACCCCCGCGGGTCGCCTCTATGTCCCCACGGCCTGTCGCAGTGAGGCGTTGTCCTGGGCCCACTCATCACGCTTGTCTGGCCACGCTGGTTTCTCCAGAACTCTTAAATTCCTCCAGCGAGCCCTCTGGTGGCCAGGCATGGCGAGGGATGTGAAAGAATACACCAGCGCCTGCGATGTCTGTGCCCGCTCCAAGAACCCCAACCAGGCCTCGGCTGGTGCCCTCCGACCTCTTCCGGTGCCCAGCCGCCCCTGGTCCCACGTGGGGCTGGACTTCGTCACGGGTCTCCCGCCGGTCAATAACCTCAACACTGTCATGACGGTTACGGACCGCTTTTCCAAGTCTGTCCATTTCATCGCCCTTCCGGGTCTCCCCTCAGCCCAACGCACAGCGGAACTGTTCCTGGAGAACGTGGTGCGCCTGCACGGGTTCCCAGTCGACGTGGTCTCGGATCGGGGGCCCCAGTTCACGGCCCGGTTTTGGAAAGCTTTCTGTCGGCTGATGGGAGCATCGGTCAGTCTATCTTCAGGCTACCACCCGCAGACCAATGGCCAGACGGAGCGGGCTAACCAACAGCTGGGTCGGTACCTTCGTTGTTTTGTCTCGGCTCAACCCTCGCAGTGGCCTAAATACCTCCTCTGGGCGGAGCGGTCCCACAATCTTCACACCTCATCTGCCACTCGGCTGTCCCCTTTCGAGGTCTGCTATGGCTTCCAGCCCCCGGTCTTTGCCCACCAAGAACCCGAGGTCGCCGTTCCGGCAGCGGAAGCCATGGTGAGACGCTGCAAGAACGCCTGGATCAAAGCACGAGCCTCCATAGCCAGAGCTAACACTAGCTATGCTCACCAGCATCTCCGTCGACACCGTCCTTGTCCCTCCTATGCTCCTGGGGACAAGGTCTGGGTGTCCACGGCTGACCTTCGGGTCCGTGCCGGGTCCAAGAAACTCGCCCCTCGGTTCCTCGGCCCATACCCCATCCAAAGGGTCATCAACCCGGTCACGTACCGGTTGCGGCTGCCGGCTACTCTCCGCATCCATCCCACCTTCCATACCTCCCGGCTCAAGCCCTACGTGGAGTCCTCCCTTCTCCCGCCTCCGGCTCCGGCGCCACCTCCTGCCCGCTTCCTCGACGGTGATCCTATCTACACCGTCCGGCGCATCCTGGACGCTCGCCGCAGGGGTCGGGGCTGGCAGTACCTGGTGGACTGGAAGGACTATGGCCCCGAGGAACGCTCCTGGGAGCCGGCTCGGTCCATCCTGGACCCTTCCCTGATCTCTGACTTCTGGGTCCGCCGGGGTCGCGCTGGGACTTCTGGAGCCGTCCCTGGACCGGGGGGTCCTGTCAGGACTCAGGTATCTCCCGGCTGACCTTCGGACCACAACTCCCGACATGCTCCTCGTGGGGAGCTCCCAGCGTGCTCCTCGCGGGGATTCCCTCCACGTCACAGCCAAGCAAGGCTATATATGGAAGACGCCGTGACCGGCTTCTCATCTCAGTCATCGTTTCTTCTTCACGGAGATACGACCAGAGAACTAATAAAACTATTAAACGTCTCACCTTGTTCGTCTCCTTCATCCAGTCTGATCAGCCTGACACTCTGTTTGTAAAATAATGAATGGATATTTAAATAAAATGCTTTATATTTTACTGCATTAATTTTACATCTGTATGCCAATTCTAAATATAAAGATTGTCTGCGTAAACCTGAACAGGTCCAACCCGGTCTTACTGTGAGACCGGGTTGGCGCGTCACGCTTGTGCGTAATCATAGGCGCTTTCTGAGCTGAAGAGGATGTGAGATTCTGGGATTCTCCTCAGACAGGCTCCTGGATGTGTCGCCACATTGGAGACAGGAACAAGCACTATTCAGCCAAAGTTTCATAATCAGGGAACATTTTCTAAGTGACAAGACTCTCTGAGAGACAGGGTTTGGAAAACACTCGCTTCAGTGGGAGGAACCTTCCGCATGCGCTCTGGTTCTCTGGGTGGCTCTGGGGTTAATCAAGTTTAATTGTTTCTCGTTGCAACAATCTTCACATGAAGGCAAAACAGTTAAACGGCAGGTTACATATATTTCCATTTGACTGTTTATTTTGACAGATGAACTCAAGGATGTTGCTTGGTTTGAAAGAATTACCCCGACGCACACGGATGCGCATGGATGAGCTGATATTTTAATCGTTAATGCACATCGCGGAGGTAAAATATTCCCATCAGAACATCAGAGCTTTATACTGGACACTGTGTTCAGCGCGGCTCAGAGCGCCCACGGTGGACAGTGAGCTGAAGATCTGGGGTTCGCAGCGCAGTGCAGAACGGCGCATGCGATAAGATTTCCTCCCACTGAAACAGTCTGGAAATCCGGTCTCTCTGAGGGATGTGTCACTTGGAAAAATGTTCTTTTTATGAAATTATGAAACTTTGGCTGAACAGCGCTTGTTTCCGTCTCTAATATGGAGACGCATGACGCGTAGAGACATTTGATCACGCACAAAGTTTATGTGGAGCAGAAGCGGTCGGGCCACGGCAGGTGAAATGTTCCTAGCCTACATGAAGTGTAACTGTTTAATTGTAACATTAATATGTTACTGGACACGCTGGTCTGGTTGGTTAGACCAGTGTTTGAAGTGGAACACACACACACACACACACACACACACACACACACACACACACACACACACACACACACACACACACACACACACACACACACACACACACACACACACACACACACACACACACACACACACACACCAATTAAAATAATGCTGATAGCGTGGACTAGAAGACAGGTGATGGTTTACATGTTTAAATGATGATCAGGCTGATGTAAAATGTAATCTCCATCCACATCCAGACACAATTATCCTCTATTCTTTCTCTATTTGCTCTGCTCTTGTCTGGGCCGATCAGCTGATGGTGCTCGCCACGCGCCTAACTAGCGGCTGATGCACATTTTACGCATTTGGAGAGGTGGGCTGGATGCTTTGCGTTTACTGGAAGATGGTCCACTTAACGCACGGGTGTAGACTACATATTAATGACAAATGAATGTAAATTAAATTGTGAGTTTTTACTTCATATTTTATAAATAAAAAGGACGGGGGAACACATTTATGACGTCTTTTTAAACGAAATTTTCTAGCGCGACCTGCCTGCTTCACTTAAGTCACTGCTTATTAAGGTCCGTCCAAAATTACTGTGGGAAATGGGTAATAATGGCTCTTTGATGGGAACAGGTTGCCGACCCATAAGATCTGAGCTGGTAAAACAAAAATCCTCATCAGCAGGCGTTTTTGAAAGTGGGGGGGACACAGCTGCCAATCACAAATTTTGCCGGGGACATGTCCCCGGCGTCCCCGGTTAAAATGACGCCTATGGACTCAAGATGTGAAAAGGAGCCCAGCAGAGGAAGAAAGTGATGATGATGGCAGCGATTATCTTAAAGGGACGACTTGACTTGTTGGCCAGGGTGCGGTTTCTCCTGAGTCGGTGGATGATGATGGCGTAACAGGAGACGATGATGCTGAATGGGATGACAAACCCCAGCAGGAAGCGGGTGTGGATCATGGCTTGATGGCGAACGAGTTGTAGCTGAAGCTCAGATTCGGCTTCGGAGTCATTGGAGAGAGCAAAGTTGTTGAAGCAGTGAATTATGTCCTTGTTGTAATCTGCTGGTGCGGTATCTCTGAAAACAAAATACGGAGCACTCAGAACCAAAGCCATAGCCCAAACACACAGACTCACATAGGAAGCCTTGCGGACGTTTCTGTGATTCTGGGCCCAGACGGGCCACACCACAGACACACACCTGTCCACACTGATCACCACCAGGATGTAGACACTAGCAAACATGTTCAGGAAGCTAATGGTGCTGTTCAGCTTGCACATTAACCTCCCAAACAGCCAGTGAAAATCCATAGCTGTGTATGTCACACTCAGAGGCAGGAATGCTGTGAAGAGGAAATCAGCCACAGCAAGGTTGAGGAACCAGACCGTGATGACGGTTTTCTTCATCTTGAAGCCTGTGACCCAGATGACCACTCCATTCCCGAGTACTCCGAGGACAAAGGCCAAGGAGTAAACAATCAGAGACATGATGTTGAGAGACTGTCTCAGCTCAGTGTGGTCATCTTTGAGGCCAGCATCATCTGTGTAGTCATCAAACCAAGAGCCATTGTTCCCTGTTTCATCAGTTGAATCAATGTGGTAGGAAGAAGTGGTCATGAGCTCCATAATTCCTGCAAACATGCAAAAAAGAACATATAACTAAGGCCATTTTCCCTCACATAAGGTACATATTATTCAATATAATATATTCTTTTCATTCCATATATGCTTGTTGGTAAAATCATCAGACACAATGGTATAAACCTCACTGTTATGCAGACGTTACTCAGTCATATTTTCGCCTTGCCTGCCAGACTCCTCCTCTGTTTAATTCTGCACAGAGAAAGGGTCTGGGAACTCTCCTATTCAAATAGCCCCACCCCCTGAGAATTGTCACCGAGCTATGGCGTTTAAAGCGTGCCACAACCCGTGCACGCGCATTGGGTCCACAGCGCGCGTGTGAACGGGACTCGCGAGCGAAAATATACATGGCGAGAGGTCATTTGTGCACTGAGAGGGAGCAAACTGTGTCTGTGAGCGCACAAGGATGTGCACAAGTGACAAACCTGCGTGCGCGCGTTGTCAACGAGCACACGGCAGAGGAAAACGTGCGCGCGGCAGCCTCTGTGCGCGCTCGACAGCCTCTCTGCGCGCTCGGTTTCTGACTCCTGCTCGCTCGGCTGTAAGGGCTTTTGGCACTCTGGAGGCGTGGCCTGTGGCAGATCTTGTCTGTCCTCTGATTGGTTAGTTCACCCCGCACTTTACCCTCTATCTATATAAAAAAGTCTGATGTTCAGTTGTTGCTGGCATAGCTTAGCTGGGAGAGCGGGTGACTCTCGCCCCGGAGGATCCAGGTTCGAGTCCGGGCAAGGAAAATGTAGTAGACGTCATGTTAATTTTTCTTAATTTCAGGTATTTTACAGTTGTGACCGTTCAACTGTCATTAAACGTCCGAATGTTTTCTGGGCAGTGTTTTAAAAAGTGCACATAAGCTAGATGGTTTTAACCATATAAAATTACATTTTTTGTGATACTGGAAAAATACATACTGAAATAAAACTACTGATTGAAAACTTTATGACTGTGGTTGTACAATATATGACTCACTAATACACTGCAAACTCCCTTAGAGTGGGGCTTCCAGAGAGAGAGAGAGAGAGAGAGAGAGAGAGAGAGAGAGAAGTTCTTGCCTCATTAATGAATTGTTTATTTTTTTCAGTATTTAATTGACAAATTATCCTTTCAAATAATTAATTGATGAGTTACATAATTGTCCATTTAGAATTGTTGAATGGACTGAGTCAAGTTTGGTGCACTTTATATATTTCAAAACATGTTTTTTTTTTATTTTAATGATGCATATAAATAATTTAAATGTTAATTTAATGAAATATTTCTATTTTTTCATTACCTCACCCTTGTTTTGACAAAAACGGGACCTTGCTGGATAATATCATGGAGAAACTATTTGTTCACAGTACATGGCTCAGTGAGGATCTGTGTAAAGGAGGAGATACTCAGAAATCTGTCTGCAGATTGTTACAACCCAGACTGGAAGTGGTGGGCTGTAATAAGAAAGGAGACCAAACAGAGGAGTGGGGGGTTCAACATCTGATTTATTTAACAAAAGTAAGGATTTACTAAAGCAAGTTAGTGAACAGAAAATGGCCATCTCAAGGTTTTACTCGGATGTCCCTCAGCAGGGTGCAGCACTGTTGAAGGTCATCTGAATGAAAGCTTGATATGCAGTTTCTTTATGAAATGGACAATTATGTAACTCATCAATTAATTATTTGAAAGGATAATTTGTCATTTAAATACTGAAAAAAATAAACAATTCATTAATGAGGCAAGAACTTTTCTCTCTCTCTCTCTCTCTCTCTCTCTGGAAGCCCCACTCTAAGGGAGTTTGCAGTGTATTAGTGAGTCATATATTGTACAACCACAGTCATAAAGTTTTCAATCAGTAGTTTTATTTCAGTATGTATTTTTCCAGTATCACAAAAAATGTAATTTTATATGGTTAAAACCATCTAGCTTATGTGCACTTTTTAAAACACTGCCCAGCAAACATTCGGACGTTTAATGACAGTTGAACGGTCACAACTGTAAAATACCTGAAATTAAGAAAAATTAACATGACATCTACTACATTTTCCTTGCCCAGACTCGAACCTGGATCCTCCGGGGCGAGAGTCACCCGCTCTCCCAGCTGAGCTATGCCAGCAACTACTGAACATCAGACTTTTTTATATAGATAGAGGGTAAAGTGCGGGGTGAACTAACCAATCAGAGGACAGACAAGATCTGCCACAGGCCACGCCTCCAGAGTGCCAAAAGCCCTTACAGCCGAGCGAGCAGGAGTCAGAAACCGAGCGCGCAGAGAGGCTGCCGAGCGCGCACAGAGGCTGCCGCGCGCGCACGTTTTCCTCTGCCGTGTGCTCGTTGACAACGCGCGCACGCAGGTTTGTCACTTGTGCACATCCTTGTGCGCTCACAGACACAGTTTGCTCCCTCTCAGTGCACAAATGACCTCTCGCCATGTATATTTTCGCTCGCGAGTCCCGTTCACACGCGCGCGAGTCCCGTTCACACGCGCGCTGTGGACCCAATGCGCGTGCACGGGTTGTGACACGGGTATGACGCGATACCGAGCCAATCAGCACTGAGTAGCGTACGTCACACACCACAATGCCGAGTTTGCCATAAACATGGCGACTGAAGCGGAGTTCGCTGCAGCTCTTTTCTCTGTTCTAAATGACTTGGACACGTCTTTAAAACCACAACAAGTAGAAGTGCTAAAAGCCTTTTTTCTAAAGAAAGATGTTTGCGCTGTCGCCATACGCCATTTTTGACTACAGCTAAAAAACTACAGCGTCGCAGACGTCACACACAGCGATGCTCAGTTTCTCATAAACAACGAAGACATGTTTTTGGCTTCCCGCCCTTTTTGGAGTTTTACTTTGGGCATTTATCCCTAATAAAGGACTTTACTTTTTTCTACAACTCCTGCCTCGTGTCATCCTGGTTACTGCATCTTGGGTCCTAACCTCCTCCTGGCTCACATCGTGACAACAGCGGCAGAGTTTGCTTTGGCTCTTTCCTCTGTTTTAAATGACTTGAATGTCTTTAAAACCACAACAAGTTGAAGCGCTAAAAACATTTCTTCTTCTAAAAAAAGATGTTTGCGCCGTTGCTAGACGTCTTTTTTTTTACTTCAACTAAAAAACTATAGCGTTGCGTGGTACAATCAGCATTTCCGTCTTTTTTCTGATTGTTTATTTTTGAGCTGGCTAGTCCCGCCTCTCATGTCCCTCTCTGCCTTTGAGTAACCAGACAAACTCTGCACAGTTCTGATTGGCTCGGTGAGAATTCTCAGGGGGTGGGGTTATTTGAATAGGAGAGTTACCAGACTCTTTCTCTGTGTAGAATTAAACAGAAGAAGAGTGTGGCAGGCCAGGCTAGTAATATTTATCCATAAATCTCAATGAACCTAATCAGTTAAGTAGATTACGGGCTTGTCTTGAAGACATAAAAATCTGGATGACTCAACCATCAAGCTCCTCCATATCTGTGTGAACTTGTCCATTACTACAACCCGCCGTGTGCTCTCAGGTCCGAAGATAAGCTCCTCCTAGCTGTTCCAAATGCACGTTTAAAAAGCCGTGGAGAAAGGGCTTTCTCTGTCTGTGCACCGAAGCTGTGGAACGCATTACCACTGCTAGTGAGGCAAGCACCAACAGCTAGCATTTTTAAATCACACTTGAAAACTCACTACTTCAACCTAGCGTATACCACATAATTATGAACCTCAGTCACAACTGCATTGTTGAAAAATGGACTTTACAATATCAACTTCGGCATTATTCTGGTTCTTTTTAAAAATGTTTTTCTAATTTTTTATTCTCCCTGTGTTTTATTGAGTTCTACCTGTTAGTTCTGGGAATTTTGTTGTATTTCCTTTTTATCTTTTATCTGTGTTCGACATGATTGTATAATTTTTTGCTGGTTTAATTAACTAACATTTTTAGTGTACAGCACCTTGTTTGGTTGTAATGCCTTACTGAATGCGCTTTATAAATAAAATTGGATTGGATTGGAACATTCTGCTGTTAAATACAGACAAGACTGAAGTTGTCATCTTTGAACCAGAACCTCTGAAAAGGAAACTTAGTCAATCACTTGTTTTGAACGGCATTAAATTAGCCTCCAAGAACAAAGTAAAGAACCTTGGTGTCATCTTTGACCAGGACATGTCATTCAAATCTCATGTTAAACAGGTTTGTAGGATTTCCTTCTTCTACCTCTGGAATATTGCTAAGATTAGAAGCATCCTTTCCACGATTGATGCTGAAAAACTTGTTCATGCATTTATTACCTTAAGACTGGATTACTGTAATTCATTACTATCAGGAAGTCCACAGAATGTAGTTAAAAGTCTTCAGCTTGTCCAAATTGCTGCGGCTAGAGTTCTGATGAGAATTAAAAAGAGAGATTATATCTCTCCTGTCTTAGCTTCCCTACATTGGCTGCCTGTTAAATTCAGAATAGAGTTTAAGATCCTCCTACTCACATATAAAGCTCTAAACCCTCCCACTGTCTTCATGGGTGACCCAGCAAAGAAAGTTGACCATTGATCAGGATTGATGGTTTATCCCTTGAGGTCCCCGTGGCAAGGGTGAGGAGTCAGCACCACCTCAGGAGGGTTATCAATTGAGCCATCGCTAGGTAAACAAACAGGTATAAAGCCAGGAATGCTGAAAGGGGGTGTAAACATTTCAGCGGTGACTGAAATCAAATTAGAAATGAAGAGACAATACCCAGGGCTTTTTAAAGGTGTAGGAAAGCTTAACACAAAACAAATAAGCTTGTGCACTGATGATAAAGTGACACAGATGGCACTGCCCCTAAGACATGTTCCTTTTGACCTAAGAGAGGCAGTGGAAAAAAATTGCTACTTTTAGACATGGACATTATAGAAAAGGTTGAAGGGCCCACACCATGGGTTATTCCGGTGGTAGTTGAGTAGATGAGTTACTGCAAGGAATTAATGGATCAGTGATTTTCTGTTAATCTGATCGGAAGTGAGGATACCACCAAATGGAGCTATATCGAGGGAAATCCCCACT